TACCGGAGCCAGGGGGCGGCACAGCCGGCAGGGGGCTAGAGCCACCCTGAACCAATCAGCGCGGCCGCAGGCAGCCGCTGACTTCCGGGAAGGGGGCGGCTGGGGCCGGGCCGTGGAGCTGGAGCTGGAGGTAGCGAATCTGGCGCTGAGCCCGGCGCGGGGCTGGGGAGCGGAGCGCTCGGGGGCTCCCGCGCAGGGGCCGGGCTGTGCCGTGGGGTGAATGGCCCCACAAGGTGCCCCGGGCAGGCTGCCCTACAGGGCTGGGATCAGCCGGCTGCAGCCCCGTCCCCTGTGCTCCTTGCCCCCGGGGAGGCGGGAGCTGTGGGGGTGTCCGGTTCATTGGCAGCCAGGAGAATAGAGACGGGGAGGGGGGTCTATGGCTCCCAGCCCCCAGCTCTATCCGCTAGACCCCACTCCCCTCCCAGAGCTGGGGATAGAACCCAGGTGTCCTGGCTCCCACCCGCACACCCCTGCTCTCATCAGTACAGCCCCAGAGCTATATGTGTGTGGAGTTTAACTAGCAGCTTTGGGGTATCTCCCCTGATGACCCCACCCACCCCTAAGGACCCCGTCCTCGGTCAGAGGGGATGGCATGAACCTGCAGCGCTGCCCCTCTAGGAAGTGTCTGAAGCTCAATCCCCACCCTAAATCCCTCCATGCACCGGGCAGCCTTGGGGCACACGCGTCCTGGGGGTGAGGGGGTTCTTATTGGGATGGGGGAGGTGTGCAGTGCCCATGCAGCCAATTGGCCGGGCCTGTAGGGGATGGCATGTGGGGACCATATGGCCAGCTCTCTGGGGCAGTGGGGAGAGGTGTTTGGTGCCCATGTAGCCCTCTCTCTGGGGCAGTGGGAGGCAGATCTCTGGGTGAATGGGGGAGGCTCAGTGCTCCTGGGGCTAGGTCTCTCTGGCAGTAGAGGAAAGGGGCGGTCATCCATGGGCCTGGATCTCCTGGGCAGTAAGGGGGTGTGCAGTGCCCATGGGGTCGGTTCTCTGGGGCAGTGTGGGGAGGTACAGCGTTCGTGGGGCAATCAGGAGCATGTGGTGTCCATGGGACCAGCTCTGGGGGAGGTGCAGTGCCCATGGAACCAGCTCTTTAGGGCAGTGGGGGGCCTTGGTACCCATGGGTTTGGCTCTCCAGGGTGTGTGTGAGGGGGTGGTAGCCTGGCATAGAAGCTGAGTGATCCCCATCTTTTCCTCCCTCCCAGATGCCCTGAGCCTGGTGTCCGGGGCTGGGAGGCACAGGGAAGCACCATGGACCCTGAGATCTCCATCATGCTGCAGTGTCCGTCTCCCAAGGGCCTGTCAGAGACAGAGGTGCGGGCTGAGCTCTCCCCAGCCTACGACCGGCGCCAGCTGCCCGGGGGCCAGGCCTGGATCGACGCTGTCTGGGAGGCCCGGTGCCGCCACAGCCCCTGGCTTTTCAACGGCTCCAAATTCCGGCTGCATTCAGCCCAGCTGGATGGGGATTCCCTGACCTTTCGTCTGGGCCTCACCTGCTACAAGGACTTTCTGGGTACCAACCGGGCTGGCATGGCCAGGCACCTCCAGCAGCAGGGGCGGCAGGACTTTGGGGACAGCCAGGCCTACCTGGCGGAGCCGCTGGGAGTGGGCGCCATGGTGCATACCGCTGATGACTGCTTCGTCTTCCTACGGCGCAGCCTGAAGGTGGGCGAGGCGCCTGGCCTCGTAGACATCCCCGGGGGGCATCCTGAGCCACAGGTGGGTCCACCCAGCACCCCTAGAATGGAAAGGCCCCAGATCCATTCCCCACCCCCTGAGCCAGCCAGTTCTCCCCCACCCTGGGAAACCTTAACTCCCACCGCCTGCCCCCATTGCACATCTCCTGGACTCCCTGTAAGCGTAGGAATGTTTTTTCCCTGGGATCCACCTCCCTTGCTGTGTTCCACTCCAGAGGTGGCTGCATTTCCTGACCCTGGGCTCCTTCCTCTGCTGCAGGCTGTGGTGGGGGATGTCCCAGAAGAATCCATCCGTTTGCAGGATCTCCCCAGACAGATGGTTGTCAAGGAGATCTTCACCTCCATCCTGCGGGAGATCCGAGATGAGGTGAGAGATGTGGGGTATTGGCTGTTGGTGTCTCTGTGCTCTGCTGCCCCTCACTAACCCGCCTCCCTGCTCCATAGGTCAACCTGCCACTGCCCACCCTAAGCCAGCCAGTGCTGCTGGGCATCGCTCGGAACCAGACCAGCGCAGGTCGGGCCAGCGCTGAGTTCTATGTCAGGTAATGGGGCTAATTCAGTGCACAGAGAGGCCAGGAGGGCTATGCTAGGCACAGGGAGAGCTCAGGAGGCAGAGGTCCACTTTGGTGGATCTGGCTCAGGCACTGTTGATTCAACTGCTGGCTTAAACCCATCTCCTGACTGTTTGGATCTAGAAGCTAGAGGAACCCTGAATTGGTGATAGATCCAATCAGCAATTGGGGTGCAACCTCTCCCCACATCCTGGGGCCCTGACTTCATTTACCATATCCTCCCCACCCCCAGCCAAAATAAACATACTAGCATGGCGCCAAGATTGGGACCTCACATTGTGCCAGGCACTGCACAGACCCTGACTGAGATTGGGGGCCCCCCATCATGCCAGGTGCTGCACAGACACACAGTGAGACAGTCCCTGCCCTGAGGAGCTTGCAGTCTAACTAGACAGAAGAAGGATTGTTATCCCCATTTTACAGATGGGGAAACCGAGGCACATAGCAGGGATGCAACTTGACAAGGTGTCTGAGAATCAGTGGCAGAGCTAGGAATAGAACCCAGGTGTCCTGAGCTGTTACCACAAGGCCAGGCTTCAACTTTGCTGCACATAGGGACAGAGAATAAACAGGTGCAGCTGCCATTGGGCCTCAGGTCCGGATGTCTCCGTTCTGCTAATGGAGCCGCCCCATGTCCCAGGTGCAGTCTGACGTTGGAGCAGGTGAAGCAGAGATATGAGATCGGGGGGCCTGAAGCTCAGGAATCCACTGGCATCATCTTTATCAAGAGAGAGGTAAGGGGAGGCACAGCCTGGCAGATGGGAATAGAACCCAGGAGTCCTGACTCCCAGCCCCCCTGCTCTAATCCACTGGACCCCATTCCCCTCTTAGACCTGGGAATTGAACCCAGGAGTCCTGGGGGAGTCCCGGCTCTCCCAGCTCCTGTGGTCGATAAGGGTCACACATGAGCTCTGGGTGGTGCCGGTAGGTACCCTGCCTCCCTCCTCCCTGGCACTGATCCCGTGGTGTCCCTGTGCTTCCCCTGCAGGACGTCCTGACTCTGGAGCAGACCGGAGGGATGTGGAGGGAGCTGTGCCCATCTGCCAAGGGGGCTGTCAGACTCTACACCCTGGTTCAGGGTGGGGGGCAGTGACAGGAAAGGGACTGACCCCCCCGGGCCACCATGGGGGCTTTTCTGTGCCAAACTGAGCATCGACAGACCCTGCAAGCTCTCTGCACATGCCAGCCCTATGTCGTGGAGCCAGCAGGAGGGGGATCACTGCAGGAGCAGACTCACCTCTCCAGGGGTAGGGCCCAATTCTGGCTGTTGAGAACCCATCTCCCAATAAAGAACTTATTCTTTGACGGCAGTGGCAGGTGCTAAGCCTCTGGCATGATCCCATTTCCCAGAATGCACTGGGCTGGCCCAGCCCTGAAGGAGGCAGCAGCACTTCCCCATGCCCTCCTATCTGGATAATCTCGGCCAGCTGCCATCAGAGCTGAACAGTGTGTGTGTGTGTGTTGAGGGGGGACGACTGGCTAGCCCAGGGGAGTGTGGAATGGGATTTGGGGCCTTTCCCCTCTAGGGGGCACTGGCTGGGGGAAAGGATACACTTTAGCCCCTTTCCCAAGGGCTACATGAGCTCTAAGGGAATCCCAATCCCCAGAGGGGGGCTGGTGCACCCCGGAGACTCTGATGGTTCCCCCAGCTCTCTGGTCTGCATTGTCCAGTCTTACCATGCAGCAACCCCTCAGCTGGCCCTCTTGCCCCAGGCTGGATAATAGCACTAGTCTCTCATGATGATAATACAAAATCCTCTGCCCCATCTCCCCTCACAGAGCCAGGGCGAGAAACTAGGAGTCCTGACTCCCAACCCCATGTTCTAACCACTGAACCACACACACCCTGCTCACGTAGAGAAGGATCAAAATTCCTGGGGTCAGTGGGGAGTGGGGTCTAGTGATTAGATCTGTGCAGGGTCTTTCCCCAGTCAGAGCTGGGCAGTGGATGGGGTTGTCCCTGCACACCTATGGACATCACATTCATGGCTGGAGGCGTCAGCCATAAGCGTCCTGGGATGCTGGGGCCCTGGAGACATTAATCATGGTCTCGGCCGGCCCAAGGGCAGCTCAGCCCCTAATCGGCTCAAGGAGGGGTGAATGGCTAGTTTGATGGTGAGGCCTGGAATCCCGGCTCGTTAATTGTATTCGAGCTGCCAATAAGCTGGATAATCGGAGCTGAGTGGGGGGAGCGGCTAAAGCCTTGAGATACGGCCTTCTCTCGCGCCATCCCAGCCTAAGATCGCTCCTGTGGGAGCCTGTGGACTATGCACGGATCCTTCCCACCAACCCCATCTGTCCTGAGTTCCCTCGGCCTTCGCCCCATAAATTGCATTAATCTGCCATGCCCCAACCCTGGGAGAAACTGAGGGACAGAGAAGGTGATGGATGTACCTGATATCACACAGCGAGGTGGTAAAGTCAGGAATAGAACCTACACGTCCTGATGCCCAGCTCTGCTGCTGTAACCACTAGGATGCCCTCCCTACCCAGAGCAGATAGTAAACTATTATTATTATCATCATCATCATATTCTTCGCAACTGCCTTGGCTGGTGGAATGAAGTAGGCCAAGGGTGTGTGAGTCAGGGCCTCCCCCAGCCGTCCATATCAGTGGGTGGTGCTGGGGAAAGGGCTCTGTGCAGCAAGGAGGTGAAAGGTGACTCCAGGAGCACAAGCCCTGGGCCGACACGAGGTGATGCCACAAGCCAACCTGACTCACTGAGTCACCTCCTGCTGGCCAGGGGCTGCTGTCATGGCCTCAGCTCCTGCTTCCCCCCCCCAACATTAACCCCTAGACCTCACTCCCTGCCCCGTGCTGAGGATAGAACCCAGGAGTCCTGACTTCCAGTCCCTGCCCAGGGAGTGGATTGCACAGTGTGGGGGTACCTCACCCTTAGCCTCAGTTTACCTGTTCTTAATTTCACCCCATTTTTTCCTCATTTCCCCCAAGACACCCTCCTTTCCTGCCCTTTCCCCTGTCTCCCACTGCCCCAGCTTATGGTGGGGCTGGCATCTGGGATGCTTCCTTCTGCAGCGGGGCCTTGGCCCTTCAAACCCCCTTTGCAAACAGGAGACCTGGCAGCCAGAGCTGGAGCGGCCTGCAAAGCGGATGTGGGGCGCCACCGTGTGTGGCCAGGCAGCACTGCTGGGCCTGCTGCAGGGTCCAGACCCAGCCCAGAGTAGAGAGGAAAAGGGGATGGACAGAGAGACAGTGGTGGAGGGGGATGGATGGGTGGGTATGGGCATAGACAGGCAGGCAGGTGGGGAGAGTGACCTGAAGAAGAGCCCTATGAAAGCTTGTCTATTTCAGCAAGGGAAGTTGGTCTAATAAGAGCTATTACCCCACATGCCCTGTTTGGCTCAGATAGGTGGGCCTGGGCAGGGCCGGGTCCAGGCACCAGCCCACCAAGCTTGTGCTTGGGGCGGCACCTGGAGGGGGGCGGCGCGGCGCTCCAGCCGCCGGGGAGAGCGGGGCCATGGCCGGGGCTTGCCGCCCTGCCCCCAGTGCTCTGGCCGCCCTCCCCCTTGGCGCCCTCCCCCCGGCCGCCGGGGGGAGAGCGGAGCCCCCGCGGGGCTTGCCGCCCTCCCCCTGGGGCTCCGGCCACCCCACCCCCCCGCGGGGGGGGGGGGGGGGCGGCCGGAGGCTTTTTTGCCTGGGGCGGCAAAAAAGCCAGAGCCGGCCCTGGGCCTAGACAGACAGTCATAGGCAGGGATGGAAGATGAACCTTGCTTCCAGGACCCCCCCCCCCCCCCCCCCGATTATTCCACATTTGCCCAGTAGGGGGAGCCTCCCCCCGCTCGCGGCAAGTGCCGCTGGCGCATGCAGGAGCTGGAATACCGGGCTAGATGGGCTCCCTCGACTGGCCAGTCCTACCTGAAAGACTACAACCCCCAGAGGCCTTTGCGGCCCCAAAGCTGCGCCTCCAGGTCACGTACTTGCCCATGATGCCTGGTGGGTGGGACTGGAGCCGTTGAGTTCAGTTTGCAGCTGTGATTGCTGGGAGACTGGCAGTGTGGTCTGGGATTGGGTAACTACCCCCAGGCAAGGGGCGCTGAGAAAGAGGAGGAGGGGAGCGAGAGAGCTGGGGAGTGGGATTGGTGGGGAGGAGGCTCTGGGGTAGGGGGCAGGAGAGTGGGATTGGTGGGGGAGGGGCTCTGGGGGCGGGGGCAGGAGAGTGGGATTGGTGGGGAGGGGGTTCTGGGAACAGGGTAACTGCCTGGGGGCATTCTAGGGAGGCTGAGGCTGTACAGAGCGCAGGAGCAGGGTGGGAACGACTAGTATGGATCCAGGGGGGGCAGAATCTCAGCAGCCTCTCCCTAGGGCTCCTGGGAGAGGGAGCTGGAAGTCTGGGAGTCGAAAGAGGCAGCAGAACCAGGTTAGAGCCAGTCACAATCTCCCCTGCCCCTGACTCTAAATCCCAGCCAGTCTTCTCCCATGGCTGAGCTGGTGACACCTGTCTCCATGGCCAGATTTCTTGCAGGGGTTCCCCCCTCCAGTTCAGGCTTGGTTGGGTGGGGGCAGCAAGAGACGACAGGAACCCCTCTCTAGGAGTGAGTTGGGAATAGAACCCAGGAGTCCTGGCTCCCAGCCCCCTTACTCTAACCCATTAGACCCCTCTCCTCTAACAGAGTTGGGAATAGAACCCAGGAGTCCTGGCTCCCAGCCCCCTTACTCTAACCCATTAGACCGCTCTCCTGTAACAGAGTTGGAAATAGAACCCAGGAGTCCTAGCTCCCAGTGGCTCATTCAGCCCTTTCTACTGAGGCTGCTGGGGAGGAGGGGTTATGTGGGGTTCCCTCTAAAATGAGCCCCCACCACCACTCCCTCCATTCTCTGTCCCCCATCTCTTTCAGAACCCGGATGTCCGTCTGTCCAAAGCCTTGTCCTATGTTTTGCGTCATGGAGCAGCCCAGCTGGGGCTGGAGATGGGTGCTGGTAAGTGCACTCATACTCCCACGCATCTGCTCCCCCTGGCCCTGCAGGCGGGCTTCAGGACAGCACCTCTCCTATGGAGAGAGAGCTACTGAACCCCAGCAGAAAGGGCTGAGACAGGGGACCCTCTGCTTAGGTACAACCCCCCATAGCTGACATGGGATCCCTGGCCTGCGGCTGACCCTGGCTCTCCTACCTGCCTCTGGGGCCTGAAAGTTCAGGCGGTCATCAGGGGGGGCACTTGGTATTGGTGCATGTGCTCCCTGTGCCCAAGGAGGTGGTGGGAGATAGAGCATAGAGAAGGAGACTAGGGCTGGGCCTGCGATCCACAGACTCATTGCACTAAACAGCCCAGGCCCCTGCTCCAGAGGCTGTGGGCCCCTGCAGGTTATTGGGGACAGGGGTGTGCTGACACGAACTGGCCTGCCCTCTGCTGGAGGGCCCATGGATGGGCACTGCCCCAGCACACCTGGGTTCTTCAGCCCCTTAGTGCCCTGGGTTGGGTGGGAGGAGAGCCGGAAGGGGTAGGGCATCTTGTGGAGGCCAAGCTGGTCTTTTCCCTCAACCACCCCCAGTGGATTGCAGAGGGAGATGATGGGGTTAGATGGACCTTGGCATAGTTGGGGCAGGAGATGGGGTAGATCAGATCAGGGGAGGGATGTGTTAGAGCATGTGAGGACAGGTTAGGTCTAGGCCTTACCAGTGAAGGTTGGAGGGATGAGTAGGAGCTGCAAGGGGGTGTCAGTCTCGGCCGCACTGATTGGGGGTGCAAAGGGGGTTTAGATCTTGGCCTAGCCAGTTGTGCGGGAATGGGGTAGGGCATGCAAGGAGGGGCAGATCTCACCCTCGCTGGTTGGGGGAACAGTGGTGTAGGTGTGGGGGTGTTGTGCAAGGAGGAAGGATGAGGTAGGTCATGCGGAGGGCAGGTCTCACCCTCGCTGATTGTGGGGACAGGGAGGATGTGATAGGATGAGTGGGGCAGGGGGGTTGGGGTGTGGGGATGGGGACAGGGCAAGCAAGGGGGGCAGGTCTCTGCCTAGCCCATCATGGGGGTGGGAGAGGACAAGTGTGGGGGGGGCAGCAGGTCTCGGCCTAGCCCATTGGGGTGTGGGGAAGGACCAGGTTTCGGCCTAGCCCATCAGAGTGCGTGGAGGGGGCAGGTCTCTGCCTAGCTGGTCTTATCTGTCTCCCCTCCCTAGATGGGTTCGTAGACGTGGCTGCCCTGCTGAGCCTGCCCCGCTTTGGGGGTGTCTCTGTGGCCGATGTGCGACACGTCGTGGAGACTAACGAGAAGCGCCGCTTTGCCCTGCGCCCGCACCCTAGTGACA